AGAGCAGATGTGACATACCAAATGATGAACAGAACAATGTTTAACATTATTTTGATCTGGAAAACAGCAACTCTTCTTTAGATATTTGTTTTCTCTCAAAATATTAACAAGTACATTGACTTCCTTCCTTAAGTATACTTACAATTACGCACAACTTAATAATAACAAAAATGTCCCTTCATTTTAAATTATTATAAAACATGCAAGAGATTTAAGTTTCATTAGTGATTTGAAATGTGTTTTAGGATAATTTGTAGGCTAATTGTAGGGGCTAGATAATTTTTTACTAGAAACAGAATTGCTCATTTCCGTCTAATTATAATAAAAGTCCTTTAACATTTCCTTTTTTTAGCATACATTGGTCATCTTTTAATTTTTTCTAAATTTTTTGGAGCAAGTTCTACATTTACACGAGACAGTCAAAACATTTTTTTGGTGTGATGTAAGAATACAAAAACCAAGTAAAAATTTCTGAATGAGGAATTTATTAGCATAATAATGTTCTGAAATTTTAAGAAAAGCACTAATGCATATTTAAAGGTTAAATACTTGAATAAATTTTCAAATAACAGGCCCAATATAACATATTCATGAACAACATTAATCTCATGAGTAAGTATAATCATATGACTGAAAAAATGAGATAATTAGCAATAAAAATATAATAATAATTAATAATAATAACAATATTACTTTATTGGGAACAGCCCACATATTGCGCAAAGTATTGTAGAGGCACCGGTGGTCCCTAGATCTGCTTCTTAGGAAGCTGCTTGCAACCTGGAGTACAATTTATAATCAACCGACTTATAACATCTTTAGTCATGAATTATAATAATAATAATAATAATAATAATAATAATAATAACAATAATAATAACAATAATAATAATAATAATAATAATAATAATAATAATAATAATAATAATAATAATAATAATAATATTAACTGAGAGAAGTGCCTTAGTGCATAGCATGCTGACTTCGCAGTTGGGAGGCCCGCGTTTGATCACAGGGCCAGCCATCCTGACTGGGGTTTTCGTGGTTTCCCTTGGTCGTACAGGCAAATGCTGGGATGGTTCAAAAAGCCCACGATCACCCTTCACCTCTAATCATCATCCTATCACCACATAATTCAAGGCATAACAACACTGTCTTACTAACGGATACAGCCGAAAAGTTGATCCCCACAATGACACACATTAATCTCTCCAGGATAGAATGTAACTGAGACTCAGAAGAGAATGTGTAGCATGGTCAGAAATGGCCGATATCTTAGGGGCTGAAAGAAAAAATCATCAAATCCTGTGGCACTAACCTTCATGCAGTAGGCAGGCATGAGAAAGCACACATTATTTACAATAACACTTTAATTAATTGAAGGCAAGTTTACAATTATGCTTTTCCCAAATGTCTGGGATTATTTCACACACAATTTAAAAAATCCACAAAACAACAAACAATATTAAAATTACTCAATCATACCAATTTCAAGAGTGCCTCAATGTTTGGCAAAAAACATCAATGACCTATGACATGCCCACTTCAGCATTGTAATTTGAAGAATCAATTTCATATAGTGAAGTCAAACATATTGACACATATTTCATAAATTTTAACTACAGTCATAAATGAAATGTGCATTTCTTTTGTGCATCAAATTGTGCAGAACTCAATACATTATGATGACACCAAGAGATTAAAATTTTATTACACACAATGCAGTATAAAAGCAAGTGACATTTAAGAACTTAAGTCAGATGGTAAATTTAATGCAACAGAAGGATGAAGACATGTAATGAACAAGATTTCACCAAGAAACACCAGATCTGATAGTACATAAATAAGAAAATGATATACTTTCTTCTTTCTTCATTTACTGTTGTTTATGATGGATCAACTCTGTAATTTTGTTCTAAATTCAGTAACAAAAATGAAACATATGATGTAAAATTAATATTGTTATTTTACAACAGCTTTACCTTAGCCTCCTGCCAAGAAATTTTTGTGCGCATGGTCTATGACTTATCAACATTAATCATTCCAATAGTTTAATATCTTCTATGACAGGGGCAAACCGAAACTGAATCTAATTTTATTTCTTAAAATTAACACATCTCTTTCTTCTTTGTCTAATGTCATATGTATGGAAAGATTTTAACAGTTTAGCACCATAAAGAATGCAAATAAGTAAAAAATCTATCTAAATTTATTAGTAACCTTGAAATTACATACAATTTATGTGCAGTTTTTATACCATAAATTTGCTGTAGTTAGAAATGCCACATATTCTCCATTATCTCCAACGTGAAGAATATATTGAAAGACATGCTGTTTCACACCAATAACAATTTGGTACACACGCACACACACCAATTAACAATGATCAAATCTACTCTAGTTGGAAAAAAAGTACCACCTACTAAATATAGGTGATGATTCTTCAACACAATAGAATACAGGCTGACAGAAAGTAATGACTAATGAGTTCTTTCGGTTATTACTTACCTACATAATTTCAAAAATAAAGCAAATGTGTGAGATATGGGCTACTGTAGACTCACTAAATAAAATGGGTTTAATGTTTAACTAAATTTAAAAATAATTACTAATAAAAACATTGTAAGGGAATTATAACATCAAACACAATTGTTTCCTACAAAGACAAGTCCTCAATATTCATAAGTTCAAATGGTATATTTTGAAACTTTAAAAATGTATTAAGCACTCTTATTAAGTAACGTAATGTTGCATGACTCTCATTCTCACATAAACATTTAAAGACATCAATAATTTCTATTTACACTGTGTTTCTCAGGAATTCCCAGTGATGGTGCATTTGCAACCCACTGTTTACGGCTTTGTGGGTTGTAACAACATGCCTACAAACTGTGTGCATTCTCTTTACCCGAATGTAGCTCATAATTCATTTGCAATAATGTGATTGTCCTTATTGTAACAAGATAAGGTGCAAAGTATGAAAATCTACAACCATATCAAATATCTATAAAATATATAATAAATTGAAAAATTGTCTTATGTTATCTAACTACAAGCGATAAACAAGAAAAAGACATGCTGCAAAAGAAGTGCAAGTTTTTAGGGAAGAAAATATTTGGGCAAAAATTGGAAAAGTAAATATTTCATATAAAAATTCATATAACAGACAGGAGTCATACTTCTAAAACTTGAGTCATGCAGTATGGCATTATTTTAATATATTTGTTACATCATAATTGAAGAACAACATTTCCAAATAAAAAAAAAATTGTGTACGAGACATGATTAGTGAGGAAATGCATAAGACAACACACCACACTAAATTTTAACGTAGTCTACACATATCAAGTATGTTTCGAATACCATTAAAGGCTAAAAACATTCATTCAAGGGTTCACAGCATATCAATTGCTCCAAACAAGCCTGTCATTTAAAGTAGAACGGTGGATAATTTATGAATCTTAATTTTAGATGTCATTGTGAGTTTTATATTTGAGAAGTTTAAACTGATGATCTCGATAGATGAAAGAAAGGAAGAGAAAGAGAGAGAAAGTCAGAGAGAGAGAGAGAGAGAGAGAGAGAGAGAGAGAGAGAAAGTGTGAATGGGAAATCTGATTTTAAAAAATTCTACTCTATGGACTAGATAACTATTCATTGTCAAATTAGGCCTTTTAGATCATTTATGTCCATCATGCTAATTTATAACAGTTATTATTACCATTACCTTAGTGATACTTATTTCTTAAGTTCAGAGAATTTTGCAGCATTTCTGAACTTATTCTAATAGTCAACACTCCATTATTCTGCAATAACTTCTATACAATAAGGGAAAGTTACTTCGTAGTGTACTTAACAGTCTCTCAGTGATAATCATGTAACTATTGGGAATAATTTTTATATAGTTACAGTATATATGGTCATTTCTCATACTTGTACTAGATTTTCTTTCACTTTTGAGCGATAATTTCTTGATTCTAACTATTTTTAAGTTATCATGATGAATAAAGAACTAAATCGATGAATGAGAAGGTAAATGTTTATTAATAGTTGACAGTATTGTCATATTGTGCATTTTATCAGTCACATTATTATTGGATATTTATTCAGAATGAGACTAAGCAAGTTTGGATTATCTCACACAACGTGCAAATGCAGATACAATCTGAAAACTTGTTTCTTAAGAGGTAATAAACAGTAGTCAATATATAACATCATCATGTGACATCTGACTTAAGCAACTAGCACCTAAATGACCTGTCTTCAAAGAAGTTGGGCATTACAAAAATAACAATACAAAAAGTAACACCTGCTTTCATTATGGATTTGGAATGAATGCAGTTAATAATTTCTAATAGAAAAATACATTTGATTTTATGGCAATATGTGGTAGCATGCAATGCAATTTTCTTTCTCATCTAACATAAAGTAAATTATTTATTCTCTACATAAGATATTCAGTTTGAGCACGACTTCTATATTTTAACCCAAAAAGTTATCTTTAAATTTCATTACTGCCAGTTCAAATTAGTTGTTAGCTTAATGAAGATAATTTTGGGTAGTAATGAAAATTTCAACATGTATCACAACAGGCACTCGTGATTAACATGCATGCAAACAACAACATAATCATTCAGAATGAAGAAATTCATTAATTAAATATAAGACGGTCATTACCAGAGGTGCACAATTTGTTGCTACAAGCACTCTTTAATTTTTCAGAAACCAGTTATCACACAAACAATCAACAGTCAGTCAGATGATCAGTCAAACATGCAAGAAATTGTTGAAAACAAGGGCAAATATATTTCGTAGTTTTCAAACAGCACCAAATAAATAAAACTTTTCAATGAATTATATTATTTGAAGCCTATATTATAATTGCTTTTATATAAATATTAGTCAAATAATATTTCATAATATGTCTTGTACTATTCAAAGATTACATAGTTAATGCAAATCTTACATAATTACTACACAAAATATGAAACAGTATCATTTACCTGCACTGTAATTTGCAAGTTTTTTGATACTCAATGGCACTAACTGCATCTTTTACAAGTTCTTAAAACTATATACAATTGCTCTGAATTCGATATCTCAATAAAGGAACTGGAACCCATGATACTAAATAGGAAAATATGTAATATTATTTCTAGAAATTTTCAAACTTAATTAGAGAATAAATTAAATTAGAGAACTAAAAGTGACACTATGAAATAAAATAAGGAAAAGCTCAAGACAGTAACAAGGATGTATTTTATAAATAACTATGTACAGATTGTACAGGTTCACATTTGAGCAGAAATGACAGAAGAAATAAATACTGAATTACAATAATACTGGAAGAAAAAATAAACAAATGTGTAACAGTATTACTGCTCTATCAGTCATTTTAACACGTGAGAAAAAGATAGTGAACTTGTATAAAAGTGAAGTTCAAATCTATCAACTTTGCTGCCAAAATTTAACACATACACTTCTGTCAGCATGTATTTAGACAGACATTTATTTTGATGCACATACTCTCATATATCTGTGTGTAGATGCAAAATAGGTAACTAATTTCTGGTCAGACTTAGTTCATTTTCCTGAACAATTACACTTTATGTGTATTTTATAATAAAAGGTTAACTGTATGAATACACACAGGTGAAGTTTATATAGAATTGTATATCATTCCATGACAATAAGTGAAACAATGAAAGTGAAAATTAAATTAATTGCTCTACTTCTTATTGCAGAGAGAAACATACAGTTTCTTCAAGATTAATTCACTTATTCATTATCAGAAGGGTTAAAAATAAAATATAATATGAACTTAGAAAAATAATGGAATACCTGTTCAAAGAAATTGAAGGTGGAAAGCAAAAAATATATGCAAGACTTCCATCATGGTAGGTAGGATAAATACAAATGCACAAAATATTAGCATATTAATATTTATATAAAAATAAAATAAAAATTACAACATAAAACAGTAATAATATGCAATTCTCAAGCAAACTTCTTCTTAAGGGAAGTTATAAAACTGATAAAATTCCAATGACTCAGCATCGAATAGTTAGTTTTGCAAAACAATATGTAATTACTATTATTATTATTATTATTATTATTATTATTATTAAAATGAGAATGTTAAAATTTTGCAAATTATTAAGTGGTGTACCAAAATTGTACCATTCAGTCAGATCTCCATTTAATCCAAATTACTTTGAAGTTATTTTAAAATTGCGTGTTGTCACAAAATAACAGCTAGAACTTTTTTTAAATCAATGCTAGAAATTTTATCTCTTGCAAATCATAATGCTCTTCTCCATTTTATGCATAAGGCTAACAAATCTAAGGTATTTAAACAAAGGAACATTTTCACATCTTTTGAAGAGGAAGATTGAGTGTTACAGAGAGTATCTCAGGGTTTCCCAATGGTGGTGGAATTCCCAGTAATTTTAATAACATCAGCAATTAATAATTTTAGCAATAGTAGAAGTAATAATAATAAATTTAATTGCAAAGGTTTCACAAAATTATGATTTCCACACAAAAATTACTGATATGCCCATTCGGATATCAGCCACATGTTGAAAAGTACCAGTTATTTTGACTGAATTGTGTTTAATTTAAGAATAAAAAGAAGATAAGGAGATACAAGTGGAATCAATTTTTTAAGAAATTATTTGAAAATATTTGCAGGTAAAAGAAAGGGCCGGGAAGTCCTATACATAATATTCAAATATTTATCACAATTAATGTAGAAAAAACAACAAAAAAACATTACAAAATGTGAGTAAGGTTAAGGGAAATATTTGTGTTGTCAAACACACACGCAATTTTATATATATCAGCCATATCTTACAGCATGACTGTCATTGAATTATGAATACTGTTAAAACATAATTCTTTGAACAGACAACAATGCTAGATTATTGGAATTTTATTGTCTTAAAAGTGATTTGTTTGGAATGGAAATAAAATGGGAATCAAAGAAAAACATGAAACGGAAAATATGAAAGGATGATAGATAATATGAGTTGACAGATGTGACAATTAATAAAATAATAAAAAGGAAGTAAAACTGTTGAAATCCTTTAATTTTTCTGGTATTTATACCTGAGAGATACTAAGAATACATCTAATCAGAATATTTAAATTTTGATACCAATTTCAGAAATAATAAGTAATTAAGACAGAAACCACATTAATGAATCAGTATCTCCTATAGTGTGTGTAGTATATTATGGTCACTATTGTGTTTCAAAAAGAGTATAAATAACTATCAGATACAGGTAACTTTAGAATAAGAGGATACATCTTTTATATTGAGCATAATACAAATTCTAAGTCTCAATCCACCATAAAAATTGGAATTTATAAAGGAGTAATCTGAGAAGGAAGACAAGCAAAGTACATGAACATTGTGAGAGAAAGAAAGAAAGGGAAGAAAAAGAAAAAAAAAAAGAAAAAAAAAGAAAAAAATAAAAAAAATAAAATAAAATAAAATAAAATAAAATAAAAATGAAGGCACAGAAGAGGAAGTCAAGATGATGAGGTGTGAAGTTTCTAGCTGCGTGCTTGCAAAGACACACCATTTTAAATCAGAAACAGAAAATGAAAGGAAAAGAAATGAAAATAATACCACAAAAACATTTTGTCACACCTTTCAACAACATATTTTAAGGCGGTCTAATGAAAGACAATAAAAAGGTAATAAATTCATTTTCATATTAGGAAATTCTAGATGTATTAATTCACAATGAGAACTGAACTTAATGATCAATGAATAAATCATGGAATAAATATATAATAAAGCAGAAAAAAATTATGTTTAGAAATATTATTAAAAAAGATTAAGATAATATTGAAAATATGATAAAATAGTAGCAAACAAGCTACGTTACAATAGCTATTATCTGCTACAGCAGCGTGGGTTGGTAATTTCAATTTGAAGCTTGTAAAATGCCATGCAAATAGTACATAAAAGGGAAGAAAGAAAAAATGTAATTATAACTAAGTATATAATAAAAAAAATTAAAATAATTGAAATGGTAAAATAAATAGGTACTCTCTGATTTTTATTAGTAATGTTTCATGAATATCAAGGATCACAACTTGGAATTTTTTCACAATCTTTTACGCACTCGATAATGAATGTACAATACTTAAGATACCATCACATTACAAAATGGTTTGGTACAGAACTGTACAATATAGTACAGTACACTACACTGTGTTATAGTAATTCTTGGTAAAGAATAAACCACTGTAGTCAATTTCATAGTGGGTAAAAACTTATAGTGGATACAAGGGATGTATATTGTTATCAAGAATACACTTGACACAATATAAACTGAATTATGTGATTGTCAAATTGATCTTTCAAGTAACACTTAACTTAAAGTTAACAAAGACAGTGAACACACACATAGAGCATGTTTTGTGATGAAATATTATTGCAGGAGTTCAATTTGAGCAAATTAACACTAGTTAACACATTTCCTATGCATAAATAATATTTAGGCTGAGATGGTACATAAATTGTAACAACCCAAGCTGTGTGGCAGCACCACAAATGAGTCACATTTCTAGCACATTTTAAGTTTCAAGCACTCCACCAATGGTTATATTACAAAGGAGAGCATTTTTTATGAAACTGTATTTGATAGTATTCTATCAACACTATTTTAATGAACTCATTGTCTTTTCATCACTGAGTTACTAGTGTTGGGTATGATCATTTTTATGTACATGTAAAAACATTATACATTTATATATATACACACATAAATGTATTTACATACATACATGTGCGTGTGCATGTGTGTGTATGTAGAAAGTTGCGTACACATATATTTATGAAATACAAAAACAGCTACGAAAGATTTAAATTTTTTATTACACAAGTTGCCTGTAAATTCTCTGAATACCCAAATAATAAGAAAAAATGTTTAAATTACATATTGAAATTTGTTCCCACTGCTATCAGCTTGCATTGCATGTAAAACATGGTAATATGTAATATTACATAATTACTAACATCACAAATACAACAATTTCAGTTTCAATATTTCAAAAATACTGTGAACATTCCTGCAGTAAAGATCACAGTAAAGATATTATGCAATGAATGCAACTGTTAATGACAATTTCATTATTAGTTCATCACAGTTTTGACAGCAACATTGGCATATCATGAACAAACAATGAAATATGTTTCAATCTAAATAAATGTATCTCCTTGAAACATTTGTAATCCTAATATAAACTAAATTAATCCATCTATTTTCAGTCAGGAATACTTCTAATGACATTACTTTCCAGGTCAGCATATTCATTCTTAAACAAATGCATTCTAATTTTATATCCTTAGTTTATAAAATAATAAAACCATAAAATAACTAGTTGTAACCACGCTTTATCACTAGTTATTTTTAAACACCACAGCAAGCACAAGAAAATGCAAACTTTAAACATTAATACATTCGATATACAATTATCTTCCATCACAATAATTTTTCTCACAGCACCTTAAATCTTTAAAGAGACGGACAGTGAGAAGCATTAACGAAGGAAATGCACAGTAAATGAAATAATTTTAAATAATTATTTTAAAGATCTGAAACCTTCCTTGACAAGGAAAGTATTTAAATATTACATTATTAATTTTGAAGGCAAATTCAATATATTCCTTGGCTAATATTAGAAATTCATAAATTTAATCAATGAACTTTTTTTGGAATCACTGATTGTATGAAGATACTGTACTTTTAAAATATCTTACCCAACACTGAAAGTGAATTTGTTAAGGTGAGATGTAGCTGTAATATATAAAATGATATATTTTATTCTGCTCACCAATATACAAAAATATGCAAAATATCTGCAAAAGGTTATAAGTGAAAGAGCTAAATACAACAACAAATAACACAGCACACCAAATTTCAATAGAAAATTTATTAATTGTAATAAAATTAAACAAATGTAAGAGAAAAACAAATGCGATCTGTAAGCCAAGACTTACACTGGTACAAGCTTGTATATCGCTTTATATTTTGTGTTTGAAGTCAACAAGATTGTAATGAAGAGAATTCAAGTGCTGTGAATGAATGATTTGAAATTTTAGACTGAATATGTACACATGTCTGTATCTGCACAACTCACCCACACTCAGTGATTCAATCAGTTCATATATGCTTATGAAGAAATGCTAGATAACCATGCTACACAGTTCAACTGCAATATTCTTGAGACATTTCAATACTGTTCCTTTCTTTTTGAAATTAAATAAGTTCTAAACTGTTCTAAGTATACTGCCTTTCCAATACTTCTACACCAGAAAGGTCAACTCAACTGCAGAACTCATAAGTGCATTGCTACATGTAATGAGCAGAAACAAGTTGTGTTCATTCTCAATGAAGATCTGTTCCAATCTGTATGCCAGGCTTAATACAACACTGAATCTTTTCTTTCCTGATGGCAAGTTGATTATGTAAAGTGTTTAGTATGGCAAATCACAAAAGGGGCTAAAAATATACAACTTGTGTAATTCTATTCAACATATACTATTTACCTGATAACAACTGACAAACACAAGACACATCTTGTTTCTTGACTCCATATTGTTAACGTCATTTTGATAAGAAATGAGCAATGCACTTTACAAGAGAGTTCCACCCCACAGTGTTCTAAACAATGAAACACATCCCAAGTTCTTGAACCAAACCTTTGTGTACAGCTGTTCAGCAGAAGGCTGAAAATCACTTCCCTGTCATTGTTGACACCTGATTATATATCAACACTGTTCAATTGTTTGTGATGCTTTTCACTGAGCTTGAGGGTCACACTGCAGCAGTCGCACAATGGACGGGTCGCTTTTAGCTCCTTCAATGAATTCCTCTAAAGACAACTTTCCATCCTTGTTCTTATCCATCTGCCGAAAAATTTTATCGGTTCGTTTCTCTGGAGTTGATTCATCCTCTGGCATCTTCATTACGGAACCAACCATTTTATAGATTGCCTATAAGAACTTCAAGTTTAGACAGAAGTTTACACAAATGCAAAGATGTTTATGATCCTTTCGGAAAACATTATGCTTTGGGGAAAACAACAAAAGACATTAACTTCAAATTATGTAATTGAGAATACTCACAAAATGCAAAGTTTTGATATTCAAAATTTAACTCATGGCAAATGATATAAGTTTCATCATCCCTGCTGTAGACCATCTCCACAATTTGAATGTTCAATAAGTAGAAAAATGTAAATCACATTGTATTTTCTGAATAAATCTAAGAAAAATTTTCAATGAAATCCTACCCATATTTTCTCAACTAAGATTTTCTTAGCCACATATTTTTAATTTCTGTTTTCTCATGTTTAGTTATAGATAAAATTTTGAAAGCAGGATTGAGGAAACCTTTCAAAATAATCTGTCATGACACTTAATTTATCTTCAAAAAGTGATTTGATATGCTTAATCAAGCAAAACATAAACCTAAGCATGTAATCTTTTACTGACAGAAAAAATGTAAAGGCAAGAGAAAACTACTTACTAATATTTAACATGATCTCCTTTTTTAAATATGGCTTTACTTAGTGTATTATCCTTTACAATAGTAAAGTTTTAGACACAAGAATAAGTTTAAAGAAATACACACCGTTACAATTTCAAGCATTTCCTGTCTTGAAATATAGCCATTTCCATCAAGATCGTACATGCTGAATGCCCATTTCAATTTTTGTTCTAATTTGCCTCGAGATGTAACAGAGAGTGCACATAGGAATTCTCGAAAATCAATTGTGCCATCACCATTGGCATCGAAGGTTCTGAAGACATGTTCTGCAAACTGTAAAATAATTTTCATTAGCTTATAAAATATAAATATATTTTAATTAAATTTCTCTTTTAAACACTTTAATATTGACAGATATTGATCAAAATTTATTTCAATATAAAACTAATAAAAAGATTGTGACAAAGTGCACTTTTGTAAATCATGGAATTAAAATTTAGAAAAACAATGAAGATATTTAAAATATTGAAAAAGATACAAAGAATTAATCTTCCCAAAAGAATGAAATGAAAATTGACTATAAGACTAATGAAAAATAACTAATGATGGTTTGGAAACATAGCATTATATTCACTAACTCCAGGGCTGGATTTACCTACTAGCAAAACAAGCAGTTGCTTGGGAGTCTCCATCCACGAGGGGTCCTGCACTCCAGAAAAATATGCATAATTGCATGCATTAAAATTTATGAGTTATTTTGTTCTTTGCAACTGAATGTGTAAATTGTTTACACAAACCTCCATATGTTCCATGCTCAAATTGACAGTGACAAGGGCCTTTGGGGCAAAAGTTACTGGTGGCCCAAAGATAGAGCTATTTTTACAGGGGGGAGGGGGAGAAAGAGAGACAATTTTGTGCTTGAGGGGCCCCCCAATACTTAAATCTGGCCCTGACTAACTCAAGAGGCAGATTTGCTTTATAGATTCTTGGCACATGACCAAAAATGACACACGAGTTCAAACAAGCATTACTTTACAAATTACTCAATATAACATGGGCATAAGCTTTGACACCGCAGTTACAGGCACTTTTTTAGCCATTTGCCCCCTCCCTTTCTCTAGCAAAAATTTTACCTTAGCCTAACACTGATTCTGGCTATGCCCATGTAGAAAAAATGTATATAATTACTTACTTTTGATGCATCACCATACGGAAAGAAATTTCCATAGATTTTTTTAAATTCTTCTACACTTAAATGACCACTTGGGCAATCTTTCAAGAAGCCTTTGTACCATTCCTGGATTTCAGCATCTATGAAACATATATTTGACATGTTGAAGCAGAATATTGAAAATCATTCACACAAAAAGAAGAAAATATTTTACCTGAGAATTCTGTATTTTGTCTGAGGTCTTCCAAAACTTCTGGTTTCAATTTGCTATTTTGTTTGCCCATATTTCTGAAATCTCCTAATTATAGTACAGTTATTCCAGTTTAGATGTCTGAACAATGCCTGAAAATAGAGCAAAAATAATAAGTAAGAATAAAATAATAGAAAAATATTAAATTCCAAATTCCAGTATTTACTGGCTTCTTCCTAAATGTACTGCTGATATTACAGATCATGTTGTGACTTAGAAATCTAAAATTATTCTGTTAAAATAACTGAAAAGAAGATTCTCTTGTAATAGAATGTGAGAAATAAAAATCTGTATGAATAAAAACAGCTAAATGGAAAGCAAGGGAACTGGGAATACATACGTAACTGAAGATTTGACATTGATATGTTTTGAAGTTCGAGTTATGTAACCACAGAATTCACATTTCTAATAGAACTCGGACAAGAAAAAAGGTATATCTAATCTCTCTCTTTAATCACTAAATGTGATGATTTACAAAACTACACTGACTGCTATTATCAAAATTCATTAATAACATTCATTCTCATACCATTCATTATTATATTAAAAAATTCAGAAATAAAATAACATTTGCATAAAAAAACGAACTGAAAGTCATTCTCAATGGAATTAGTTACAGTAGCAATTTATATTTTTAAGAAGATGAGATCAAGTATGCCAAGTCTGTCTGACTTTTGTTCCCTCTTTTACCTTATTCATTAATAAATATAACCTAGTTTTTAAAATATAACATTTATTAACGCGATTCACTACCAAATAACAGAAAAGAAAAAGTTTTAATACTGGTAAGTTTATTTGTAGTTTCTATCTATCCAAGTGTACTTATCCATAGGCATCACGTTAATCATTCATACGAAATGACCACAATCATTCTCGATTTATACTTATAGGGCTGCAGAAAATGTTATAGTGATAAAAAAATCTCTTCTGTTGGCAAGGACTGGTTTCATTTCCAATAAGCATTTTCAATGTAATGTTTACAAGATTTATCATCAAAAATTGTAAACGTTTCATATTCATTATTCAAGGACACTCTTTAGCCACAAAGTGTTTAAATGCAAATTCATCGCTATTGTTATCTGCCCAACTTTCATTACAATGGCAAGTACATGGCAGTCAGATAGACAAGATTCCATGGTATAATTAATTTGATGTAGAGTTCATAATTTTGGGAGATTAACTGCATTATAAGTGCCATATGTTTTATCATTTATAATTGTACTAAACATTTCAGACGTTTAGGAAATATTGACAATGGTGTACAGCACTTTGAATTGGCAGAAATGTATCATTCTACAGATATGACACACACAGACAGAAGGAAACGGATGGAATCTCATGAATCTGTTACACTGTAGATACTTAATTTTATCAGCATCTGAAACATTTACATTACAACTTATACACATTAAATATGCACATACATTTCCAAAAGATTGTATTATATATACTTAAAGCATGTACATAAATAGTTGGATACGAAAATAAAATTGATTATAGCAAGAGACAAAGGAAATAGACATTTTACATGATTAGAACAGTATATTACATCATATGTGCAGGAAAAGTACAAAAATATAAAAGTGCATGAACAGCTTAACCAGTACACTCTTAGTCATGCAAACACCAGAAAAGCCACAGCAACATATAGTGGCTCAGTTATTCTAAATAGTCACTTCATTTTATTTTTTGATAAAATATTATCTTACTGCATAAGCAACTGATCGGACAGAAAGTATATTATTTAATAGAAGTAGACTACGTTATATAATTTATCTAAAAGATATTTGTCACACATTCAATACATGGACATTAGTATACTGCAGGTATTAATCTCGTATATGTTACTTCCAATGGTGTTCAATTGACAAGATTACCATAAATGTTGAAAAATCAGCTATAATGGTGTATAAATATGTGAAAAATTAAACCTTGATTTAACGAGATGATTCAATAAAACTGCAAATAGTTTTTCACAAGAAAAGAAACAAACGAAAATTTAATATTTTAAATATTTTATATCTTTCACTCAATAAAATTAAATTAATATTTTGAAGTTATTTAGTATCCTTAGAATTATAAACAATCAAAACCATAGGTATTTACTTTCTTATAGTAAAATCGACCTATAGTTTTGATGGTCTAAAATCCTAAGGATACTAAACAATTCAATTATGCTAATAAACAATCAGACTGGTTATCAGTTTAACCCAAAATACAATTGTATCAATATTTTCAAAGAAGTTGAGATATAATGATAACACCAGTGATCTTCAAAAAAGCTTTTTGACTACAATATTTCTTAATTTGATGATATGATGTACTTTCACATGAAGCTGTAGTATCTTCAACCCAAGACTGCCAATCCAGCATATACATTCTGATTACTCTCTCAAGATGCCATTTACATGAACTGAAACAATGAGAATCCCTTAAAAGATGTCAAGGCATTTATTTCATGGTACCACTTCAATGTTATTTACATTTTCTCATTTTTCAAGGAAAACGCTGTGAACACAATTTCATAAAAAGACTGTCACCAATTCTTGACTAGATGCAATATTACAAAAAAGGTGAATTTTCAGCTTTGTACATACACTTCTTAGTATGCTGCATTTTTAAATACTTCCAATGATAAAGCATTCTCACAGAATTCTTATTCAATATTGAAGAAACCCTGTATTTGTATTTTATGCTGAGAAAGAAATATCTAAAAAAGTAGGGATTATATGAATATCTCACAACAGACCTGTTGAACACCACTCAATTGTTGAAGTGCCACATAACAGAGTATAAATTAGCAGTGATATAATATAGAGAATAACATTGCAGTGAACAAGATACAATCTGATCTTTTCATATGGTAACATTCCTTTCCTCTTAAATGAATTTCTATAAGCAACACATACCGTGCAATCAATGAGGAAATAAGACATACTAATGATAATCAGAATATTGTTACTGAAGATGATCAAAATGTTATGATAAATATTTCTTGTTATCAAATTTTGCCAAAAACGCTTATTGCAACGTTTATCTATAATTAGTACAGTACAAGGATGGGGGGGGGGATAAGAATTCTGGAGCTCAAGAAAACAAACACAAGACTCTACTTCTTCCCCATAAATTTTACAAAGTTTTTAACAGTTCTTATTCATAAATAAATAGTTAAAACAATTTAGAGACATACCCAGGGTTAGAGCAAGAAACAGGCCACGAAGTTAGAGAACAGTAATTTGGTTGTTCACAAAAAGGTTTTCATTTAATTTTACATAAATAGGAATTTTATTAACTGTAGATATAAGTCATCATCATCATGAACTGTTGGTGTTTAGGTTTAACTTCAGAATTATTTCAAAATACTTGTACAAGCCTTTGGTTGACAATAATGGCAAAAACTCAATTTATTTCCACGTCTGAAACCTACAACTGTTTTACAGAAAAAGTTCATTGGATTTACAACACATCAAAGATGAATGAAAAGCAGTATTAATTTCTAATAATGGCATTTTCACACAACAGGCACTAGAAAAAGTTTTAAATTAGCAACACTGATGCCAATAGGTCTGTTGTGCAATATTAAGGCAAGATACAATTGAAATAGGCATGGTAGATAGTCATTTATTTATTAATCATCAATTCCACAATGAGGTACTAGGGAGAAAACACACCCTTAGAGCACTGACTTAAAATGGCATTTTGTTTCACAAAATGGAGAACTTGAAAAAGTTTCCTCAAATTAATCTCCATTTATTCAAAAACCCTTTACTTCATAGATATTTAATTTCATCCATTTTTCTCAAAATAATATATTCCTCAAACAATATCTGATAGAGACTTGGAAGTCATAACAAGGAGATAATAAATTAAGATTATTTAGTCTGTGGAATTCATTTAAGCAATAATCATTCCTATGATGTTCAGATAAACAAAATCTACCTTCTCAAAAAACATGGTCCTCAAGAAAATCTCAGTGATATTCAATATACCAATTACATTCAATGAAATAATATTAAAATATTATTTATGATGATTAAAATTGATTATTAAACAAAAATTAAATAGCAGTTAAGCACACCTTAGGTACTTTAAATGATAAGAAGTGTCTACATTAAAACTTAATGAAGACAACACCGCTTTTGCAGAACTGTTTAAATAGATCACATTGGTGGTGCAAGAAAAATATGATTTGAATATTTTAATCAATATCTAATATGAAAACAAAGGCAAAATAAATATCAAACTACCTATGGATATACTGTTGCCACAAATGGTGCATTTATTTATCCAAATAAACCACAATTTGGAAGACATTCAATTGTGAATTTGAAGAATGTTATGAGCAGATATATTAAACTGGACAGTCACTATTATTGCTTACTCAAATTGAAAGCATTATATTTAATGAAATCAAATTTACATGTTTTCCAAGCAACAATTGTGTTTACAATACTGCTTTCTTAATTGCCAATTGAATGTTTAAAATATGCAGATCTATTAAATTATAAACATAATTAAATCAATTATAGTCTTCAAGATTGCAACGTTCTTAAAACAAAATGAACATGTGTTCAGTAAGAATTATCAAATGAGATTTTCTTAATGAGGTATATACTTTTGCTTAATAGAAGATCATAGTCATCTTGGCTCCTCATTTCACCAGCCATATACATAGACTGCATATAGCTGGTCTATTAAAAAACTACTCTATTGCAATTCAAATTGCGTCATAATTTTGCTTTTGTGCAGACCAGCTTAGAACAGGCATTTTTGATTGTTATTGTAAAGGCTATCTGAAGTAAAGGAAATTGAAATATTGCCTCATTTCGTTAACATAGAACTGCCATCTCTCCATTAACAATTTGAATTTATTTTAATTATGTGCATTAAATATTACTGTTTAAAAACCTGTGACTTGAATAAATTTCAAATAATGTAAATGTTCACTGATACAAAATCAATACCTGAAAAACCTGTTCTCTGAACTCTTGCTTTTGTGATAGTAATATGGATGAGGGCACTTACATTGGAACATTGTATGCTAGCAAAATTAATATTAAGTATTTGTTTATCAAATTGGAATGTAATTACT